GCAAACCTCTCACTACTGTTAAATATAAGTTTTCTGATCATCTGTAAGCCATTAATGCTTAGGAAACAAGTTTGCTGTAAAAGATGCCTTCTTGACAAGTGCCAGTTTTTTTTGTTTTGTTTTTTTGTTGCATCACAACTTTGTTTTTGATTCTTCATTTCACCATTTAGCTTCTTTTAATTCATCTTCTCTCATTAGATTGTTTTAATTTATTATTTTTTTATCAGATTTCCACAGATTTCTTTGGGACGGACTGACTGCCTTATCTAGACAGTGTGATATGACTGCTGTAAATAAGACAAAAATTTCACCTTTTGCCGAAGCCTTCTACGTACTTATGAATTTTACTGTTTGTAAGTGTACTTGCTTTACTAACCTTTTCTTACAGCTAGAAGGCGCAAAGCGTCTTGCTTTGACAAGGAAATATTGTATATATTTGCTCCACTATTTGAGCATGTACCTTTTGAAAGCTGTGCCTATGCTGTTATTTCCAGATTACTTAAATTTCCTCTCCATCAGAACTTTTCTTGTTGCAAGACGAACTATAATACATTGACGCTTTGTATTTTTTTTTTAATAAATCAAAAGGCAAGTGTACATTTTAAAGTCAACTAAATAAAAAACAGACCATTATGCATTATCATACACAGTCCAAAACCTTGACTCTTCATTTGTTACATTAATTAATATAATTAATAATAATTAATAGAGAATCTAGTGGACTTCTTATCCAGTGACCTGGTTGTTTCACAAACCCTCAGAACCTTGTACAGTAAACCCCTGGCAGCATACTGTCTGTGTGTATGAGACACATAACGGAAGCTTTTGAATTTGTCTTCTGGACGGAGTTCCCCCAACAAGTACTGGAGTGTGTTAACAATGGAGGTCATGCATAACCAGGCCATCGTTCATTGGAAAATTTTACAACCGCTTGACAGACGATGTGTTTTATGACAATAATAAAGTCAGACTCATTACTCTCTGCAGTATACTCACTGGGATTGGAACAGAAGAAATTCTTTGGATTAACACCCCATGCATAGACACAAACAAGTTTCTCACTGAATATATCACTGAAGCAGGAATTTACATATTAAATCGCTGAAATCGGCAAATGCCAAGAACATCCAGATACATTTTAGAGAGAGGCTGTGTTTGCGGATTTGTTTTGTAAACCTTTCAGGTGACAAAGTCAACAGGAATATTCATTTCAAATGTGCTGTGTGCCTCCAAAGACGATGATGTTACCTGCCTGTCTTTACTGTCCAACTTCCAATCTTTTTAAATTTTGTAGTAAGCATATTTCTCTGCCAATCATCACACAACATCACCTTTCATGATGTGTTGTTGATTTTGAAAAATTTTAACTTGGAAAGTTGTAATTACTTATGTTGACATACTGTCCTGTAGTAAGGCCTGCCCTTACCACCAGTTTCATCCTTACGTAAAGTTTATTTAGTATTGGGTATTTGGTGGATATCTTCATATAGGGTGACAGATAATAATTGCAGACTACAGTACAAAATATTTTTTTCTTTTTGTCCATTTTGCCAGCTTCCCTCTTCAGTGTGATATGGATTTCATGAGATAGTTACAATAAAATTCAATCCAAGGAAAAAAAAAACTGACTACACTAAGAACATGCTTTAGAACATGATACCCGTTTAATGCGCCACCCTGCCTGTTTGAATATGAGTGTGTGCTGTTCAGGTTATGTAACACAGCTGGGCAGTGTGAGCAGTGGTTAATCCTATGAGTCTGGGGGGATGGGGCACAAAGTGTCCTGAGCACAATGAATGACAACTTGGCGACACTGACACCACAACACAGACCACTGCATATTACCCCCTGGTAATGGACATGGACTGCCTCTCCTTAGAAGACACCTGCTGGTAGGCCTCTTCTCTGGCCCCAGCTGGCACACTTGCATAGGTGGGTAGGACACCTTCACAGTGCCAGCACAGCCACCTTTAAGCCACAAGTACTCTCCCAACTCTTTGAGATACACAGGTTTGTCAGGTTTACCCCAAAGGACATCTTCCCCTGGGAATACCGGAGTACTGTGGAACCCAACACTCCTGAGAATGTCCAGATCTTCCTGCCTAAATGAAAAACCTCATCTCAGATAACACCCATCCAGAACAGAACTGGTGCCTAGCATTATTGTTAATAAACCTTCTCTCAAGTAATTTCAGTGCTGCACATAATGGTCACAGAGGTTCTACTGTGTATTTCTGTATATAATATTGGTGATATTGTACCGTCGTGGCTCAACTGTTATGCGTCTGTCTCTCTCCTCCGCTCTGTGCAACATTGCATTATTCAAAGTCCCTACTTAGACTAGCGGAGAACGAATGACCTATTTTCAATTTTTGTTGATATGCCTTCTGTTACCCCGCCTACTTTTACATGGAATAAATCTTGTTTTCGTTATCCGTCATGGAGACGCGTCTTTACCCTCAAAAAGTTTCGACTCTGCAATGGCACTAAATAAAATATATGCTGACTCCGATTAACGGGTCGAGACACCTGTCTTTGCATTGGCTCTGTTCTTATCCTAACTTTCTTCTGTGAACGTTTGTAAATCGCTTTGGATATGAGCGTCTGCAAAATGACTAAATGTAAATGTGTAAAATGCACAATAAGATGGCTAGCTAGCTAGCTACATAACTTCGAACAAGAAGTTACAAAACGTTTCACTGAGATGCTGCTGGGAGGTCAAGTCCAACGGTATTTGAAATGTACCCCACAACTTCAGTGTCCACCAGTTTATCCCATTGCCACAGGTACAAAACGTTTACGTTTATTTCCTAACATCTCCAGCTACTCCGTGCACCACCCGGTTTCGGCAAGCACCGCCGAAGCCCAGAACGCCCTCTCGCGTAAGCACACAGATCTCGCGATGTTTCGGGGCAAGTCCTCTTGGTGGGATAGTGCTGAAAAAGCCGGGTAGATTTGCGAGCGAACGGTGACGGCGTGGTGCGGTCTAATCTGGTGCTGTGGGATAACTGTTAGAGGATACAGAACATTTGCGGATGTTGATAATAGTTTACTGTATCTATACCGCGGTTTCTACTCTTCAATTATACAAATAATAAATCGGGAAACGGGCGTTTAGGAAGAACGAGGAAGAAGAGTCGCTCAGAAATGTCCAGTACTGAAAACAACAGCGTGGAGCCGGAGCGACGGATGGAGGATGAGCTTGAAGGAGAGGAGGTGAACAGAACAATAGAAACCCATTGTGGGGAAAATCGCCCTTATACTTTCGTGGGAAAACGATAAGTTTATAGCTCACTCGGATCCCATTTATAATGTGACTTGTGACGAAAACTGGAAGACTTTATTTTCCCTACTCGAGCTAGCGAGTCGGCTATCGTATCTTGATTTAACGTTATGCTAGTAAGGAAATGGCAAGTAACTTTTAGTGAACTAGCTAGCCTAGCTGGCTAACGTTAACCTGTCGCCCTTCGGCAGACTTTAGAGGCGAGGTACAGTTGTGGCCTACGTGAGACTTGGCCATCCGCTGCTAGTATCACGGCAGCGGTTGTTCAGCGAACATCCCTGCTTTTCGCGGAGGGGAAACCGGGGAATGAATGGGCAACTGCGAAGGGGGCCATAAATGCGTAATTAGCCGGCTAGCCAACTAGCTTATGGAAACAATCGTCTTTCCCGCGGTAGAGGAAGAGAGCCCCAGAAAAAGTTCGTTATTTATCAAGCAGCGAAACATCGGTGTTTTATTAAACGTTACGTTATTGTTCTTAATTCATCTGTTCAGTTTTCTAACATTGGGTATTTGTCTTACTAGCGGCAGCTGGCTAATTTTTCAACAACAAAAGCACTTCTGATCAGCTAATGCTAGCTAGGTTGCTAATGTTAATTAGTTAGCTACGTCAGTATAAACACAACCCACCCACTGTACTGTCGTTGCTAGAAAGATATCGTGCTAACGTTCGCTATTAGTTGCCGTTAGATCATTTTTGACACAAAGTAACTAGGTAAGCGTCTGTATTTCTGCCTGCTTATAAAATATTATTCGCCAGCTGTATGTCTTATTCACATTTGTCAAAAAATTGGCAACTTCTACGTACTATTACCTAGCTAGAGTAATTGTGCATAACAGTTCACTGTATTTTCTGGGAAACGCCACGCACATGGCCTTGACCTAATCATTGTAGCTAACTAGCTAATATAATTATGGCGAGCTACGGATCTTGCTGGTTGATAACATTACAGAGTCCGACTGTGGCAGAGGTCTAGATTAATCCAGCCATGTCACCTATTGTATGACAGCACAGAAGAACAGAAATGAATGATAGTGTATATCAGCATATAAATATAATGTTGTACTGGAGATATAATTTAATCGAAACTGCCATCTTGTATATATTACGCTAATCTAATTTTACTATACATATGTATTATTATTATTTTATACAGGATGAAACTTCTGAGCCCGAAGAAGGGGGACAGGAGGAGGCCGCGCCCCCTAAAGCGACCGACGAGAAGCCGATTTTGCTGCTCCCTGGCTATGAAGCGAAAATGGTATTCCTTCGCTTCTAATTTGTATTGATTATTCAGTGTCCTTGAGTGAATTAATGTGCGTGCCACTCTTGCATGGAAGAAATGTGCAGTATAAGGGCTTATCGTCCAATCAAACTGTTTACTTCAAATCTGCAGGGATGCTTTTTTTCCACATTACTTTGCTTGCCTTTTAAACTCAGTGTGCCAGACCATATCTAATGCCCCCTCCTCTTGTGTTCTTCACAGGCAGCGGACCGCACTAACAGATTTGAGTACCTGCTGAAGCAGACAGAGGTGTTTGCCCATTTCATCCAGCCAGCAGCGCAGAAGACGCCCACTTCCCCCCTGAAGATGAAACCCGGCCGACCTCGCATCAAGAAGGACGAGAAGCAGAACCTGCTGTCGGCCGGGGAGTGAGTATTCCCCCAGTTCTGTCCCAGAAAGCAGGTCCCTGCGCGCCCTGCCACCTGTTTGGAAGCAGTTCCATGGTGTAATGGCTAGCACTCTGGATTCTGACTCCAGCGATCTAAATTCAAATCTCAGTGGATTCAGGGGTGGCAGTGTAGCATAGTGGTAAGGAGCAGCGCTGGTAACCGAAAGGTTGCCGGTTCGATTCCCTGTAGGGACACTGCTGATAGAGCAGCAGGGCAAGGTACTTAACCCAGAATTGCCTCAGTAAATATCCAGCTGTATAAATGGATAACAAAATTGTGACCTATGTATGTCGCCCTGGGTAAGAGCATCTGCTGAATGCCAGTAATGGAATGTTTGCTGTCATTGCTTGTGAGGATACCACAGTAAATGCCAAACCAAATGTAAGGTGGAGTCCTGGTGTTAGAATTGAGTGAGTTTCTTGTTTTCCCTCTCCCTGCCACAGTAACCGTCACCGGCGCACAGAGCAGGAGGAAGATGAGGAGCTGCTGAGTGAGAGCAGCAGGGCCACCAACGTCTGCACCCGCTTCGACGAGTCCCCCTCCTGTGAGTGTCTGCCACCGCCTTCGCTCTGTCGCTGTTCCTCTTTCTTTGCTGCTACCGAGCTGTCGTGAGAAATGGCCATTGTCTGCCCTTATTCTCTGCTGCGTGTTCAGGCTTTTGTTTGCTACAGTGTAGTGTCCACGTTTGTTGGACATGTGTCTTTGGGGCAGAGGTTACGGTGGGGTTGTAACGGTGTGTGGGCACGGACTGACGCTAAAGCATGTTTCAGTCATGCTGCTTCCTCCACCCACCTCCGGGTGCCCAATGATCACTCTGGCAGGTGAAGTGGTTGCTTGCTGAGAGCAGTAGCAGGTGAGGAAATAGCTTGGAATGCAGCCCAGGGAGAGGGCCTGTATCTCCACCAGCATCAGCCCACAATAAGCATTACATGGACCAGCTGATCTTTATATTATCAGCACTGGCTAATGTTTGAAACAGAGATTTAACTCATCTATTCAAAATAAAGAGCAGTGGGTCTTTGCATGGGCAACCAGAGTGTTTCCAGTGCTGATGGATGAATGGTTTAAGCAACTTTGACACTTTCCCTGGGTTTATTTATTTTTATCGGTTTCTTTAAATGTCATTCTGGTGTGAAGCTTTAAAGTAAAGCTCTTAAACCTTAACCACCAATCATTTGTCTTCCCACAGATGTGAAGACCGGGAAACTGAGGGACTATCAAATCCGAGGGTTAAACTGGCTGATTTCACTCTATGAGAATGGAATCAATGGGATTCTCGCAGATGAAATGGTACTTGGCTTGCTTATTGTGGTTGAAAGGGAATAAACCTATCTGTAAACTGTAAAGTACCTCACAACGCTCCCTTAATTGGGATGCTGTAACTCCATTTTGTCTGGTGGATGTTTTCATAGCATTTATTAGGCAGCAGTTTTGGCAGCATCTCTTACTCGGGCAGGCAGCCACGCTTGGCCTTTACAGTAGCCCTGAGGCTGTCGGTTTGTCCCTCAGGGTCTGGGAAAGACGCTGCAGACCATCTCCTTGCTGGGGTACATGAAGCACTACAGAAACATTCCTGGACCTCACATGGTGCTGGTGCCCAAGTCCACCCTGTACAACTGGATGAACGAGTTCAACCGCTGGGTGCCCTCACTCAAGGCTGTCTGTCTCATTGGAGACCGGGACGAAAGGGTACGGGCACTTTTTCTTCCGCCTGATGGAACTGGTCGCGCATTTCATTCAAACATAATTGCATCTACGTCCCTCACTCTGTTTCAGACTCCCTTAAACAGAGTTCTTTTTAGTTATTACACCAATACTGGTTATGTTTCCATAAAGGCTTCATAGAGCCATCTCTCTAGAGTCAGTGTTGAAATACAGTACCACAAGCTCAGTGGAAACAGGTGTTGATCTCTATAACTCCTCTAAACATCTAAATTGCACCATCCTTGCTTTTTTACAGTAATATTTAATACAATGCTTAGTATAAAGCAATAACTCCAGCCAAAAAGTATCTGAAGGCTGTCTGCAGGTGAGGCCCTTTGATTGAGCTCTGGTGGCAGTTGTCCTAACCGCTCCTCCGCCGTTGCCTTTAGAATGCGTTCATCAGGGACGTGCTCCTGCCTGGGGAGTGGGACGTGTGTGTCACCTCCTACGAGATGCTCATCAGGGAGAAGGCCGTCTTCAAGAAGTTCAACTGGAGGTACCTGGTCATCGATGAAGCTCACAGGATTAAAAACGAAAAGTCAAAGGTGAGGCCTTTGCATGGCTTCTGGATTTGAGTATGCATTTCACGTGAGGATTGTCTTAATTACAGTGCACACACATTTCATTTGTGAATGAAGTTCAGATTTACCTTTACATTTCAGAAACGTTACTTCTAGAATGTGCATTCTTTACAACAATGACTCCACTAGGTGTGCCTTATGATTGGGCCATGATAGGCATGAATGAATGAATGAATGAATGTATGTTAATGTTACAAATAAGTGTTTTTTTTTTTTTTTTTTTTTTTTTTTAGCTCTCAGAGATTGTCAGAGAGTTCAAGACCACCAACCGCCTGCTGCTGACTGGAACTCCCCTGCAGAACAACCTGCACGAGCTCTGGGCTCTCCTCAACTTCCTGCTCCCTGATGTCTTCAACTCATCTGAAGTAAGCCTCCCCATGCACTGGTAGCCAGAACAGCCCTGCATAGTTTTGCTGTGTACATAGACTAATTTTTGCTTTTCTCTCTACTAAAGGACTTTGACGCCTGGTTCGACACCAACAACTGCCTCGGGGACCAAAAGCTAGTTGAACGTTTGCATATTGTAAGTGTATAATTTTTTGTGATGTCTTCCTTTGAGACAGTGGGTTGTATACAAAAATTTTAGGGCGTTAAAGGACTATAACTGTACGTAATCCCTCATTTGACTCCTCTCACTGTGAATCAGGTGCTGCGTCCTTTCCTGCTCCGACGTATCAAAGCGGACGTGGAGAAGTCCCTGCTTCCTAAAAAGGAGGTGAAGATGTACGTGGGGCTGAGCAAGATGCAGCGTGAATGGTGAGTGCCACCGTGGGGTTTATACTAACGACTGCTGGACAGGGATTCACATGCATTTACAGTGTGGACAGTGTAAATCAGCTGTGTGTTAAGTGTTTTACCAGTTAACTAGTTACTAAAAACGATTTGCAAACGGGTGTCTCAAAGCATTTTCCCCCCCTACCCCTCCTGTTCACTCCAGGTACACCAAGATTCTGATGAAGGACATTGACATTTTGAACTCTGCGGGGAAGATGGACAAAATGCGCCTGCTCAATGTGCTGATGCAGCTGCGCAAGTGCTGCAACCACCCGTACCTGTTCGACGGCGCCGAGCCCGGCCCGCCCTATACCACCGACCTGCACCTGGTGGTCAACAGCGGCAAGATGGCGGTGCTGGACAAGCTGCTGCCCAAGCTGAAAGAGCAAGGTCAGGCCCCGTGTCTCATCTCGGTGTCTCCTCTCTCTCTCTCCATGCAAATGTATCTAGTAGTGAGCCTGGAGGCTGTAGAGATTCCATGTCCACTGCTGTTGACTGAGGTGATAGCCATATTTGGAGCTTGCTTACCCTGTCGGACTGTCCTCCCCCCAGGTTCCCGCGTGCTCATCTTCAGCCAGATGACCAGGATGCTGGACATTTTGGAGGATTACTGCATGTGGAGGAACTACGGCTACTGCCGCCTCGACGGCCAGACAGCCCACGAGGAGAGACAGGCATGTTCCACACCCAGCTTCTCATTCCTGCTCAATAGAGCTTTGGTTCTGCCACATTGTAAGACTTACTCTCTCTACTTGTTTTTTTGCATGGTTCTAGAAATCGATCAACGCGTACAATGAGCCCAACAGCTCCAAGTTCATCTTCATGCTCAGCACCCGAGCTGGAGGTCTCGGTATCAATTTGGCCACCGCCGACGTCGTCATCATCTACGACTCTGACTGGAATCCTCAAGTAGATCTCCAAGCTATGGTTAGTCCTTTTCTACACAGTATTGATGATTTATGTCTAGCATCAGGTTGTAAGTGTGGTTAACGTATTGTTAACTGTACATCATTATCAAAAAGGCTGTAATTACATTGCAAAATGGCTCCCTCGGCATTATATACTATGTAATATCATGACAATGTGAATGTGAGCACAGTTACTAAAGATCGGCCCCACTGTCTCTCTCCTGCCCCGCATTCAGGACCGAGCTCACAGGATTGGTCAGAAGAAGCAGGTGCGCGTGTTCCGCTTCATCACGGAGAACACGGTGGAGGAGAGGATAGTGGAGAGGGCTGAGATGAAACTCAGGCTGGACTCTATTGTCATTCAGCAAGGTAAACAGGCACTGCTAGTCTCCCTTTCCTTTTAAACATCAGTCATGATTTATGCTCACCAAGTTCTTTGAGTGGTCTCGCTATAGTGAGATGTATCATAATTGGCAGACTTAATGCTCTTGTAGAAAATTTGAGGGGAGGGAAGCCCATTCCGGTTTCAAGACTGAAGTTCTGTCTCTTAAATTCTCCTCCTTTAGGAAGGTTAGTGGATCAGAACCTGAATAAGCTAGGTAAAGATGAGATGCTGTCCATCATCCGTCACGGCGCAACACACGTGTTCGCGTCCAAGGAGAGCGAAATCACAGACGAGGACATTGACGCCATCTTGGAGAGGGGAGAGAAGAAGGTCCGTTCTTAGTGATGCCTCCTCGGGCCCTGATAGCTTCCATTGATTTGGCCTTTCATTTTAGCATGAAGTAACTTTTGGCAAAGTTTGAGCGTAAAGGCGTTTGCATTCTGTTTCAGACACTGGAAATGAAAGAGAAGTTGAGCAACATGGGCGAAAGCTCACTGAGGAACTTCACCATGGAGTCAGAAACCAGCGTGTACAACTTTGAAGGTGAAGACTACAGGGAGAAGAAGAAGGTAAAGCAGGATTTCTCATTGTGGAGTTTACATAAGGCTTGCTAGGGAAATGCCAGTGTGTCTTCATTTATTACACCTACTGTGTTAAGCCAATTCCATTAGACATCTTCACACATCTGACATGGCCGGTATCACTCCTGGTTCTCATATTATTAGTACACGTTTTATAAGTTTTTCTCCACGCACAGTACTGACA